TTACCCAGAACTAATTTAACGAATTAGAGCATAAAAATGCCTTGGTGATCCTATTTCCACTTTATGGCCGAAGCTCCCCTCGAGGCGTCCCTGTGGTAACGTTATACCTTGGCTCTCACTGATTGCTGTTTGTTACCTTATGGGGTACTTTGCCGCAGGGGGCTTGAGGTTGTTTGTGGGCGAGGGAGTTTTGAGTAGTCTCTTTTGAGGAGACAGTGACAAAGTCATCCAGGATTTCGTAAGGCTGTGGAGAGAGCCTGCTGTGTGTCACAAAATCTGCTGCTAGCAGTGCAGAGGAGAAGCAGGGTTGCGGGAGACTACAGCTTGGAGACACACCCTCCGGAAGCCTGTGGCTACATGATGATTTGTAAATGGCAAACACTTACTTGGGTTGCAGTGTTGTTGGAGCCATGTTGGTCCCAAGTTATGAGAGAGACGAGGCGGGTGAGGTGGTATCTTTTATTGGACCGACTTGTGTTGGTGAAAGAGTCGAGCTTTCACGCTACACAGAGCTCTTCAGATGACCTAAGAAGAACTCTGTGAAGCTCAAAAGCTTGTCTCTTTCACCAACAGAAATTGGGCAATAAAAGATGTTACCTCATCCACCTCGTCTCTCTAAACAGTTGCATTCTATTTCATGAGGTGGTGGGCTCTGAACATGTCTTTGATTTCATGGGTTGTGTGGGTAACTCCAGGCAGGGAAGATGTATTTATTTGTTCATTCAGTTTATAAAAAGATGTTGTTCCACTGATAGGCTCCCATTCGGTGCTCTGACAATATTGGAAATCTTCAGTCCTTACCCCATGGAAGTGTTTGTTCATACTGCAGTTGCACCCACCCACCCACCCACACACACACACACACAGAGCTCCAATAGTAAATAATATTGTCCCCTCCCAAATGCCTGGGAGAACTGACTGGCTTTGCTGTGTGACCCGAGTTAACGTAGCTGCCCTAGGGGATCAAGAAGAAAGGCCAGTTTGAGTCACGCAGCCTTTGTACCCTGCCAGCAGCATACTCTCGCTTACAGCAAGAGGGCTCCTGCCTGAATGCCTGGGCTGATTGCTGCTCTGGTCATGTGGCACAAGGGGGAGAGGTGGCTCCTTGGGGTAATTATGGGACAGACCATTTAGGGTGTGAAGTTTGAGCCACCCCTTTGAATTCCACCCAGAAGCCAGTGCAGTTCCCAGGGGGCTCCCAGTGAGAGAGAGACGGCTCAAGGGGATTGCTGCATTCTACATCCCCTTCAGTTTGAGTGATGTTAAGATGTAGCCCCATGTAGAACGCTTTATGATGGTCTGATCTCAAGGAAACAAAGGCATGGATAAGTGTAGTAGGCTTCCATCTGACTGACACGGCCATTGGTCACCCCACTCCACCCAGAGAGTAGCATGGCACCTTGGTGATGTTTGCTGTTTCCACGTCCAGTAGCACCTGGGGTCTAACTAAAGCCCAAGTTACAAACTATAGTGACCAATAGCAGATGCTGATTCAGTACTAACCAGTTCTGCCAGCTCCTTTCCCCCGCCTTGCCAGCAGTATCTCAGCTGGCTAGCTCCTCCAGGGCAAGGCCGCGGGCAGACACTCCCTCCGCAGAGCTGAGTATCGTGTTATACTGAAGGCACCTCCCCCATGTCTCCTTACTACCCCTCCTAGTGTCCCCTACTGCACCTGATCAGAAGGGGAGACTGAATTAAACCCTGCAGGACCCCAGACAAGTGTTTGTCAGAACCAAAGCTATCGCCCACACTTACCAGTGGGATTCTCTGTCCTTAGGCAATTCCAGCTAACTCTGACAGGCCTTAGGTGTGTCCACAGCCCCTCGTGGTCAGTGGTAAATGTTCTAACTCAGCCTGAACACCATATCCTCAGCCTTGGCATCATATTCTATGATTCTAAGAGTCCATCGGCTGGTGCCACTAATGCAATTTTCCCCAGACCCAGGTCTGAGGTCCGAGGGCTCTAGGCAATGCCAGAGCTGCTTCACCATGAACTCGTCCCAAAATGGGAGCTGCAGTATTATTTGGTAGCTAGCAGGGTTGTTTGTTTCCAGTGGTATTTTGAATGGGGCCTTGCCAATGCTGCTCTCAGAGCACCTGGTGTCCTACCCTCCCATAGAGAGGTGTTACCAGTCTCCACAAGCTCTGGGTCCAACATCTCCCGCTGGCCCTACCCATCTAGGGTGGTCCAGGCTCCAAGCTGCAGTTGGTGGCCTTTAAGCACCCCAAACGCTTTCAGCCCTTCAGCAGTGTTACTCCCTGAAGACTCACCTGGGTTTGTCTGCTGGTGACACTGCCCTGATCCCGCGGACACTGACCGCTCGATCTGGCTACGTGGCTTTATCTGCAAAGTACTATGAAAATTCCTTTCAGCAAAGCGATTCTCTTGTGTAGAGTAGCCTGCTTCTCAGAGGTGAGACGTGCCTGGCAAAGGCTGGTGCCGCAAGGTCTCTTCCCAGGACCAAGGCTGGATGCTCCCAGTTTCAGAGGGAAACATGGAGCAGCCTGCACCTCCATCAGTTAATTGTGTAGGCCAGACTTCTGCATCATGTGCCCAGAGCTCACACTCTGGAGACTGCAGTGTGGCGCCTGCTGAGGGCCTGGTTTCAGTGTCTTACTGAACGACCGCTGCTCAGGCAGGGCCAAGCAGCATTGGTTCATTGCCGTAAATGGCTCTCGTGTGCCCATGCACATGCTGCTCCGGAGGGAGGGCGTGGCTGTACCCCGGCTAATGTTTAGCGACAAAGCCGTAGGGCTGCAGTGTAGACGCTCACTGCAGCCCCGGAGGGGTTCTCCCATGGCTGTAGTTAATCAGCCTCCCCGAGAGACGATAGCTGGGTCGACGGAAGAATCCTAGTGCAGTGTACCTCGGGTTGTCACACCCCTGAGAAATGGCTATGCCGAGGTACGTTTTCAGTATTTCCCAGCCCTGGACTCGATAAATACGGTGTGTGCGCCAAAGAGCCGGTGCCAAGGGATAAAATGAAACTAACGCTCAGTAAACAGCAGACTGACTCTAACACACCTGGGTACCCCAGTGATGGGTCCGTTAGAAATGCATGTCAGAGAGGAGTTGAAGGTAAGCACTAGTCAGCACTTTCTGAGAAGTTTGCTGCTTTTTTGTAGACTCCAGATTCCCTTCGTCTCCTCACCTGTACTGCAGCCCTCTTACGCCACACTGCTGGGAGCCCCAACCCGTCCAAAGCACAGCTGCGTAGGCGCCATTCCACAGTGTCGTGTCCGTTGTTACCATGCCGGTGATGGTGTGTCGTAGGCTTGCTTCATTACTGAGCCTGGCTCTTCCTGGCCCCTTCTAGATGAAGTCAGAATTTACCAACTACCAACTTCCGTGTTGTGTCCTAAAGTTAGAGACAAAGAACAGTATACAAAAGACAATTGAACTCTCCCAAGAAGCAGGAGTGAAATCTGCAAGGGTATGCTGAAGAAACCAGATTAAAATGGCAAATTAAAACAATTCAGACTTTAAAATTGAAAATCTCCAAGTACCTAGTACCAGCTGTTTGCTAAATTCTGAATAATACATTGAATTCAAGTTCAGAAAATGCAAATACGCAAATGCCATTTACAAATGGCCGGCTCTGGAGGCCTTCGGGGCACTCTTGCTTGAAGTTTGTCAGAGTTAGGTGTATCCATCATTTGGTTATGTAGGAGAGTCTCCATCCAAAGCTATATTTGGCTGGACCCGGGCTGGGTGATTTGACAGTTTTGCAGGTCCAAAGGCTGGTCTGTTTGTCACAAGTGTCAGGCTTTCTCTTCTACTGCCACCTCCTCCATAAGCGCACCTCCATTATTTCTCTATGTAGCCTTTGTTAGACGTTAGCAAACTCCTCACTGCTGCTTCATTTATTGTCACTCTTGGGATCCGCCCCGCTCTAGTCCCCTAAAATTCAGAGATTCCAAGGCCAGCCGGAACCACTGTGGTCATCTAGTCTGACCCCCTGCAAAGCACAGGCCAGAAACTGGCCCCCAAATACTTCCAGAGCGGAGCTTTTAGAAAAACAGCCCATCTTGACTTTAAAAGTGTCAGTGACCGAGAATTCACCATGACCCTCGGTAAATTGTTCCAAAGGTTAATTACTTTCATCGTTAAAGATGTACGCCATATCTTCACTCTGAGTTTGTCTAGCTTTGACTTCCAGCCATTTGATCATGTTAGACCTTCCTCTGCTCCCATTATTCCTCCATGTAGGTACTTATAGGCTGGGATCAAATCACCCTTAAACTTCTCTTTGTTCAGCTAAATAGACTGAGCTCTTAGAGTATCCCTACAAGGCAGGTTTTCTAACCCTTCAGTCACTCTCATGGCTTTTCTCTGACCCCTCTCCAATTTATCAGCATCTGTCTTGCCTTGTGGGCACCAGACCTGAGCACGGGATCCCAGCCCCCTTGCCCAGAGCAGTGGTAGCTCTGCAGGGCTCTCAGAATAAAGGAAACCGAAATCGTAGTGTTGTCCCTTCATATCAGCATATAGGACTCAAGGTGTGGCGTGGATCTGCTGGGCTAGCACCGGCCCATTTTTACAATTCCCTTGCCCACTATTACCACCCTCGAACTGGTGAAGCAAAATGTTTCTTGCCCTCAGTCCTGCCCGAAGCCCTTTTCTGGAGGTACTGGGTATGCTTCGTGGGGACTGTGTGCTCGTGCCCAGCACAGGCCCTTGCAGGTACGTAGAATATCGCACAGTGCCTGCGTGTTCTAGGATCGTCAGTAAGTCCTTCGGTTCTGCAGTAATTACCGCCTGTAGGGTTTCACTCCCTGGGTTCGTCTGGGTTGGAACCAGCGCTGGGAGTCACAGGCCCCAGCCATACCAATTGGTAATGGTGCTCTGTCCCAGGAAGGGCTTGTTTTAAGAATAACATGGAGGCAAAGTTCAAAGCGAGGCCCGAATGAAAGATGGAGACAGTGCTGAGCGATGGCAGATCCCTCCCAAAGCAAGTGCTGTTCTGACTCTTTTCCCCCTTGACCATGTTGTTTTGCAGCCTACCCGGACTCCCAACTCGGCAGCATCCAGCGGGACAGCTGGGCCCTCTGGCTCAGCTTCCGCCTCAGCGGGTGAGATGAGTAGCAGTGAGCCCAGCACACCTGCTCAGACGCCTCTGGCTGCGCCGGTCATTCCAACTCCTTCCCTGACCTCTCCGGTGGCACCTCCTTCAGCTCCTTCCCCCACGAAGGTAAAACAGATTGCTCTACCCGAGTGGGGAGGGGGAGGGTCGCAGGCAGGGGAGTATGGCGGGGGAACCATTTATCAGCCCACCCTAATCCATGCGCCAACAAAAAGGGCCAGGGAGCGCTCTCATGTTCCGTCTCCAAACAGCACTCATGTGACTGCACCTGGACTATCCCGGTCAGTTCTGGGCACCGCACTGCCACAGACTGAAAGCAATACAGAGAAGAGCTGCAAAAACAATCGGGGGTTTTGAATGGATTGTCTTCTGAGATGAATCTGTATAGCATGGCTAAGAGTAGATTAAGGGCAGATGTGGGGCGAAACCCCAAGGCTGGAAAGGAATTCAGGGTGGTGAGAATACCGCTGCTTAGCTCAGCACTCTACAAACATTCATAGAAACCTAGAAGATTAGGGTTGGAAGAGACCTCAGGAAGTATCTAGTCCAACCCCCTGCTCAAAGCAGGAGCAACCCCAACTAAATCATCCCAGCCAGAGCTTTGTCAAGCCGGACCTTAAAAACCTCTAAGGAAGGAGATTCCACCACCTCCCTAGATAACCCATTCCAGTGCTTCACCACCCTCCTAGTGAAATAGTGTTTCCTAATATCCAACCAAACCTCCCCCACTGCAACTTGAGACCATTGCTCCTTGTTCTGTCATCTGCCACCACTGAGAACAGCCGAGCTCCATCCTCTTTGGAACCCCCCCTCAGGTAGTTGAAAGCAGCTATCAAATCCCCCCTCATTCTTCTCTTCTGCAGACGAAACAAGCCCAGTTCCCTCAGCCTCTCCTCATAAGTCATGTGCCCCAGTCCCCTGATCATTTTCGTTGCCCTCTGCTGGACTCTCTCCAATTTGTCCACATCCTTTCTGTAGTGGGGGGACCAAAACCATTATCCCTTCCAGCATCCTTGTGAGACTGGAATATGGCGGCATCTAATTTTAGAGATGAGGAAACTGAGGCACAGAGCTCAAGGTCACACAAATTGGAGCTGGGACTAGACCCCTGGCTCTTGACTCTGTCCCATGGCTCACGCTCTAGGTCTTTCGGGTGGGGAAAGTCAGAAGGGTGGGCTTTGTTTTGTTTTTTGTTTTGCCTGAATATCGAGACTGATCTCCTGACCTTGAGAGGGTTCTGGGCTGAGGAATATTCTCCCCCAGGGAAGGTGGAGAAGCCCCACTCTCTGGGACAGGACAAACTGCTAGGGAATATCCCATGGGGAACAACCTGCCCTGGCCTTGGAGGTGGGCTGGGTGATAATTACTATCTAGGCCAATTTTGTTCTTTAAAATAGTTTTTCATTACTTCCCTCCTGCACCTTCTTAATTAGTTGAATTTCGAGCTTATGAAAGATTTAGGACATGAGGGCAAAGAAGTAATAGCACAAGGTGTGAAAAAGCATTTGAGGTTTTGTGTGAAGTTGTGAGCTGGAAAAAGCACCACCTAGTGGAGGGAAAAGGCATTCCAGCCTCTCATTTAGTTCGGGGTTCATCTTCAATTACACCTGTGCCTGAAACGAGTTCATTTGCTAGCGTTGTTACTGACGCCTAAATCAGCTGAAAGAACAGGAGTACTTGTGGCACCTTAGAGACTAACA